GGCGGCGACCGTTACTTTTATGTGATTTCAGCAGGCTGTTCTTGTCGGCTCCCGTTGGTCTGAAACAATAGCGCGAAGGGGGGGACGGATGTGTACAGAGGCAATACTATGTCGGTAAGAGAGGGTGGTTGGCGGCTTCTAATATCAAGTGTCAGCAGCCGGGGGTGTGCAAATGACCTTGCGGTTAACTGGCACACATGCGTTGGGCCAACCAAGGCGACGGGTGATGCGAGTGTACGCAAACAAGTAGGTCAAGCGGTTTTCAGCTCAGCCTGGCTCGACGGCCACTGTGTCTAGTCAACTTTCCTATGAAAGGCCGAGAGAGCGAGCTGGTGTATTCAAGTGGCTCTTGAAGCAGCTGTCTCTTGATGCAGTGGGGGGTCGAAAGCATTGTGGGAGTAGTTTATTTAGAAGGCAAGGAAGCCGAACGGGGGGGTGGTAACAGTATTAAATTACAACTTGGCCGGCGGACTAGTTGTAGCACCAGTGTGCATTTGACTGGAAACAAAACAGGTCATCAGGGGGCAGCAGTATTGGAGAAAGGGAATACGGGCAGTTGGTCCAGAGGAAGGGGGAACGGCTTTCGTAAGAGGGAAGCAATCATATGTAGGTTGAACGAGATTTTCTCTGCAAAAAGGACGTGAACAATTGTAAGCTTGTTCAGCCGAAAATAACAGTCACAATTATGAGAGAAGCTCGCGTAGTTGTTTTTATTGTACCTCTTGAGCCACGCCAGCAACCGCACAGCGGCCAATCATGTAGGCGGATGAACACTGGCGACAAAGAAGAGGGAGACAGAAGTGGCTTATTACCCATACCCATCCTCTGGTTTAGAGCACTGCGATTCGAACACCAAATCTTTTATGATTAAGTCGAGTGCTCTACCAGTGAACTGAACCTCATCACTTAGCCGTATTTCATCTTGGAACAGACAAACGGGCCGAAGATCTCATTTGTCCAAGTTGTTTAGCATTCACCTTATCAAGAATTATGCGAATATTTTGTGTAATGTTTTTTTAATCATATTGCCTCTCTTCTTTTTATACATACACTTCAGGCGCGTTCCTTTTCGGAGGCTACGGATGTGGCCAAAGCCCACATACTAAAATATCCCGTAGAATGGGCTCGCGTGTTCAAGCCGAAGCCCCAATCGGACGGCAGCGCCGATTCTGACAAAAATGGTCAACCGCCGGACCGATCAGCTATGCCAAACGATCGTTTGCTGTCATCCTCGGTTTGTTCACTTATCATCTCCTTTTTTTCATGTCCCCAACATACAGCCACTTCCTTATCCCTCTCTGTCTCTCACCTCTGGTGCTCTTAACTTTGAGTAGTTGAGCCAAAACCAGAATGTGGAG